GGTAGAGTCTCAAGCTGTCACCCTGGGTAGAGTGCCATGGCATCACAGCTCACAGCAACCTCAAACTCTTGGGCTTCAGTGATTTTCTTTCCTCAGCCTCCCAAGTAGCTGGGACTACAGGTGCCCACCACAACCCCTGGCTATTTTTTTGTTGTTGTTGCAGTTGTCATTGTTGTTTTAGCTGGCCCCAGGCCAGATTGGGACCACCAGCCTTGGTGTATATGGTTGGCGCCCTACCCACTGAGCTACAGGCGCTGCCCTGCTAACTTTATTCTTAATTATTTATTCTTTTTTATGCTATTGTAAATAGAATTGTTTTCTTAGTTTCATTTTTGGATAGTTTATTGCTAGTGTGTAAAAATGCATTTGACTTTTGTCTATTGTTCTTGCATTCTGCAACCTTGCCAAACTTGTGTATTGGCTGGAATAGATTTTTCTCTTTTTTTGTGGCTTCCTTACGATTTTCTGCATGCTAGGTAATTTCATGTGCAAATAGAGATAGCTTGACTTTTACCTTTACATTCTGGATGTCTTTTATTTCTTTTTCTTGTCTAATTACTCTGGCTAAAACTTCCAATATTAGGTTGAATAGAACTGGCAAAAGCCAGCATCTTTGTCTAGTTTCTGATCTTAGGGGTAAGCTTTTAGTCTTTTACCGTTAAATATGATTGTTAGCTTTGGGGTTTTTTTTTGGAGACAGAGCCTCAAGCTGTCCCCCTGGGTAAAGTGCTATGGCATCACAGCTCACAGCAACCTTCAACTCCTGGACTCAGGCGAGTCTCCTGCCTTAGCCTCCCAAGTAGCTGGGACCACAGGCACCCGCTACAATGCCTGGCTATTTTTTTTTTTTTTTGGTTGCAGCCATCATTGTTGTTTGGTGGGCCGGGCTGGATTCAAACCTGCCACCTTAGGTGTATGTGGCTGGCTCCTTAGCCACTTGAGCCACAGGCGCCAAGCCGTTAGCTTTGGGTTTTAGTGGATAACCTTGTGTTGAGGAAGTGCCATGTTTTTTTAGATTGAGTGTTTTTTGGGGTGAACAGATGTAAGATTTTGTCAAATGCTTTCTCTGCATCTCAAGCATGTGCTTTATTAACGTGATGTATTCTGTGGTGGAGTTTCACATGTTGAACCAATCTTGCATTCCTGGGATAAAACCCATTTTGCTCATAGTGTATAATCATTCTCATATGTCAATAGATTCTATTTGTTAGTATTTTGTTGAGGATTTGTATTTCTGTTCACAATGGATATTGGTCTGTAGTTTTCTCGTAATGTTATCATCTGACTGTGATA